CTACAGCTGCTTCCCTACCTGGTGTCTGGAGTGAGTGGAACATCAGGGAAGCCAAGTAGGTCCCCCTGTAGCTGCAGTAGTGACAGCAGCAGCCCCACCTGGAAGCTGTGTGCTGGCTGGGCTGGGCCTTTCCATCTTTAAGGGTGGGAGTGAGGTGCACAAACTTGGTGGGGTACAATTAGTTGGTGGTTGCCTACAGCCCAGATGAAATTACCTGCTGGGCCAGATTCAGCCCATGGACTGTATTTTGCCTGCCCCTGACTTAACATTCAGAAAAGGTTTTTAGTTCCCTACCTGAACAGCTGTGACTTGCTACTAGTGTTCTGGTGAGCAGGGCCCTGACTAGGAGCTACATCTGTGAGTTGCCATTACTGGGCTGATGAGCCAGGACAGACTTCTATCCCTGCTTTATGTAGGCAGGTGTGAGAGATGGGTTGTTGGAGAGGGGCAGGAACATTTAAGCCAGGAGGTGGAGGGTTAATGGGATGGGGGTGGGTAATGAAATGGGAGGTGGAAAGGAAATGGTAGCGCAGAAGGGTGGTGAAATGTAGGAAGTTGATACTGAAGGATAAAATAAAAAGAAGTATTTTTTTTTTTTTAAGAAATAAAGAGTAAGTAAATTAAAAAAGGTCTCATGTTCTAATAAATTGGGTGTGGGATTAGGGTGTCTAGGATGATGGTCGTGCTTCCTGGGGTAGCTGAGAGCTAGAAACAGTGAGGGAAGGCCCTTTTGGGGGAGCCACTGCCCCTACCCTGGGCAGGAAGCCCCAGCTCTTGGGGACTTGATCTGGCCCCCCATCTTGTTGACCCCACTTCTGGACCTGTCCATGCCCTGCAACCTGGCTAGCTGGCATGTGCTCAGCAAGCTGTTTGCATGGGGTTGTGTCCTGGCTTTGTGCATGGGAGGGTCACACTCCTGGGATCAGGAGTGGGAGTTGACTTAGTGCCAGAGTCACCCCCTGGGCAGTAGAGTTCAGGGCGTGGAAAGTTCCTCCACACAGAACAGGAGGAAGGGACCACTGCATCCTGAGACACTAGAGAACTGCAAGTTGAGTGGCTCATCTGTGGGGAGTTGCCATACATTAATGAAATATGAGTTGGGTAACATGGATGAGATAAACCTGCCCTGGAATGGCACACTTTAAACCACCCAAAGTATGCTTAAATTAGTTTCAGGTATTAATATGTGGACAATCCAGTGGTTAAGAGCTCCAGCAGCCTCCTAATATTCATGTGTAATAAGGCCCAGATATTGTAAACACAAGCTTCTACAACTCAATTTTAATGTTAAGACATTTGATATGCTGACATAATCTCTTATCCTCCTGCATCAAGTCCTGATTTTATGTTACCGTGGCCCTTTCCAGTTTAAGGTCATACTGGGTACTTCTAAATATGTAAATTCTGTGGGATGGGTTTACTCCAGAGTAATTGGGCAGGCATGTATATGTGTGGGGATTTGGGAACAGATTTGATGCTCTTGGTAGCAGTCTGCTCCACCTCTTTCAGCCTTGCACTGACCCCTGCAGCAGCCAGGGGGATCTGGAGGCTCTGGCTGCAGCTGCCTGTGGCCATTTTTAAAAGGCAACCCTACTCCCAGCTCCCTGGCCCCCTGTCTTCCTGGCCCAAAGCATCATGCACAGCACTGTGCCAGCATGCTGTGGCTCTGTTGTTGGAGCCACTGCCCTCCATGCCATGACTGCTCCACTCCCAGGCTCCAGAAGCAATGTCCAGTGCTCTGGCTTCCTAGGCTATGGACCGATATTCAAAAAGCCTGAGCCTGAATTGATTCAACCTTTGCAGGTTAGTCTAACCTGGCTAGACTGAGCTGGCTTCCAACCATACAGACAATCCCTCTGGACTGAGGAAATTCAGGCACATGCCGGCAGTGGGTCAGGCTGGAAACTGGGCAGTGCTAGAGCAGCTCTCCCTTCCCTTGCTGAGCTGAGCTGAGGGGGGTGTGTCCAGGTCCCAGCAGGAGGCTCTGATTAGGGAGGGGTCTAAACCCCCAGCCTGCCTGCAGTCCCAGGCTTTTCCTGGCTTGTTGCTCAAGGGGCAGGAGTGTTGCCAGCCCCCAGCTAGCACTGAGGTAAAGCAGGTGGGTGCAGTGCATGCATCTGTTTGATGATATGGAGCTTTTCAATCTCCCTCCCTGCTTCTGTATCCTGTCTGCAGCAAACTGACAGGCAAGCAACCTGGGGGTGTGGTGGGGGGGCTGATAATGGTGTCACCCCTATCTCAGTGTTTATCACCCCATTAAGAAAACAGAGGGACATTACCAGCTACCTGTTGATTTAGCACGGACCCAGCATGTGGTCTGCTAGCTAACACACAGATACCTTCTCTGCAAGGCAGAGGGGATGGGGGAATTTCTGCTTAACAGGGAATGGTGAAGGGCAGAGGGGGAGCAAACAGCTCTTAAACGGCTTTTCCAAGGAAGGACATTAAGCTACCTGTTTAAATAGATCCAAAAGGCCTGTCTGCCTCTGTTGTCTCCCATAGTGAGGACTGTAGCTAGCATGTGGTCTCCTAGTTAATGCTGAGGTGTCTGTGAGGGACGGGGGAATGCCTGCTTAGCACAGAGTGGAGAGGGGAGTGGGGGAGCAGATGCCTGTAGAGACTGCCGAGCTCCAGCAAGGCAGTAAAGGGGAGGGGCCAGCCCTGCTGTGGAGCAGAGAGCCCCGCCCAGCCAGAGAGCATGCTGCGATGCTCTGATTTATCTTAAATCAGCAAGGGGTCTGGGACAGACATTGCATAAACTGGTTTGAGCCAAATCGGTTAAACCTGGTTGAATGTAGATTTATCTCAGATTTATCTCAAACTGGTTTCAGCCATTTTCAAACTGGTTTATGTGCATTTTAAATCTGTTCTGTTATAGGTTTAAACCAGTTTCTGATCACTTAAACCCATTTATATGTAATTTCTGTCCCTAGCCCTAGTAACCACCCTGGTTACCTTGCTTTGCTGCTGCAGCAACCATTTCCTGGCCCTGGTCAGATTCTACCCTGGCAGCAACCCCGCATGGTGCAGCCACCTGGCCAGGCTCACTGCACTGCCGTAGTGTAGTGCCACCATGCTGCTGCCCAGATCCTGGCAGGGAGGCTGATGAGACAAACGGAGATGCCTCCACTAGTGCCATTCACATGGTTCTGGGACTCCAACCCCACTGCCTGAGGCCCACCCAGCCAGCCAGGACTGTATGTAGGCCACCTGGTTGGCTAACCCCAGCCCCCAGCTCCATCGTGCATACCCAGCACCACACTCAGTGTGGACATCCCTCTCCCCTCCTTCCCCAACAATAAAGACCTTCCCCTCTTCCTCCCCAACAGCAGACTCATCCCCTGCCTCCCCATAGAGGCCTCCCACCACCCATCCCATCCCATCCCACCTCACCTCACCCACCATCAATAAAACATCCTTTTCCCTGTGCAGATCCTGTGCAGTACTTTATCTACCCTCCTGGGGTGGGGGGCAGTGGGGTATGGGCAGCTAGGTGGCAGCACCCAGGGACAGGTGCCCAGAAGCCCAGCCTCTGGCCACAGCCCAACCGTTGTGCATGCCACAGTGAGGCCAGGGGCTAGGGGGTTCACCAGGAGGTGATGGCAGGTACTGCTTTGCCAGTGCTGCTGGCTCCCCCATCCTGCAGCCAGCAGGCTGGGCCAGCAGGGCCCACACATGGTGCTGGCCCTGTTGCAGGCAGCTCCTGGTCCAGTTTTAGGTTCATAAGTGCCCTGTCCTCTGCTCAGGGGCTCTTGGCTGGTGGGGGCACCACAGCACCTCAACCAAGACCCACTGAAGGGTTTATGGCTGGGCAATGGACAGCCAGGAGGAAGCCAGAGGGGCAAGCAGGGCTGTGGCTGGCAGCTAGGCAGCGGGTAGCATGAAGGTGGCTATCGGGGTCAGGATGGTGTCTGGCACCCACCAGTTCTATGT